CTATTCTCATTAGAGAGGGCGCACTTTATTGACTGTATAAAGTATACATAAAAGCGAGAGTATTCCAGTGGATGCGATCTACAACCTCTGAATTTGCCTAGTAACGATGAATTCGTCGAGAAAATGGTAATATTTTATGAGAAATAGGTCTGTATTTCTCTTTTTTTTTTTTATTCTTTTGCATAAAACTAAAATTCATGCCAATATTTTTCCATGATTTATAATAATTGGAGTAATGCAAATGCATATTTTCTAAAAAAAAGTCAGTTTTTAGTGAAATTTTGCCGGGAATGGGGCTTTAACATACTAGCTTTTTTCACTTTACATTATGTTTTTCGTTTTATTCAAGAAATAATTATTGTGTCTTCCTCTCTGTGGGTACCAGTTTCTTTCTGCAAAGAATAGGCCTAATAGTACAATATGCATGATGAATACATAATTTTCTTTTTAGGTTGTGATATGGCTAATGCTAAATGCAGTTTAGAGGTTAAGATAGAAATGGATTCCACAATGCACATGACAAATGGCGAACAAATGGTTTGAATGAATGTGTCAAATTCAATTTTAAACTGAGTGTTAAGTTATAGATATATTGTTAAACATTTTATTAGACTCCCAATATGTTTTAACTGATATAATAGAAACTTGTGATTAACAGAATCAAATGCTTGTTTTAAATCAATGAAACAAATGAGACTCTACAGGAGCCCCCCATCTTCGAGATCCCCTTTTGGAAAGAAAAAAAAAAAGGGAAAAAAATTATTGTTTTTATTTCCGAATGTCTAGAAAACAAATATTTTGCAGGGCATGTCCCCAGGCCACCTAGTCTAGTGTTGACTCTCGATCGGCCCCTTCGGCTCTGGATCCGCTCCTGCTCTTCAACGTTTTTTGTTATTAGGTATAAATATACTTTCCAATGTGCTGCTGCAGTAACCTTTTCTAAATCCGGCTTGTTCTTCATGGATTACACTATATTTTCAAGTCAATTGAAACTAAAAGGATTACAGTACACTAAAGTTGTCTGGCTTATCTTATCGCCTTTTTTGTACACATACATCACTTGAGCATATTTTTAAAAATTCAATAAACTACAACTGATCCCAGGGGCCTTGCCTTGTGTTTTAAATGCAGATTATATTTCTTCTAGTTCAACGTTAAAACAATCGCAATGGAATGGATCAGTGAAATCAGAAACATCATTATTTTCTGTATCAGTTGGGAATTAAATTTAAAATGATCGTACCAGATATTCAGTGAAAGGTTAGAATAAAATTTTGGCCCGTGATGGGAGTGGAAGCCAAAACCGACAACTTCCAGACTGTTTGAGGTAGCAAACCTGCAGAAAGACAGACCGACAGGAAAAAATCTCAGATGATGAAGGAACATATTGTACCTGCGTCCTAACAACTCGCTTGGCAGATCATCATCTAAAATACCTGATGGTCGTTGGACGTGCCTTCTTGGTAGAAACTTTGTAAGCAGACTCTGGTAAATAATTTCTAGACTATATGTTGTCGTAGTATCGGAGAGCAACATGTTCAGATGCAAATGGAAGATAGAGATGTTGCCCAATAATCTAGCCTGGGTTCTATACCCAAATTTGGGTTACTTGCTCTTTATTGCGCTTAGTATGCGCCATACCTAATATAATTTAATTGACGTCCCATACTCGATTTCCCCTTTTTGTTCGTCTCTAAATTAACTTTCTCGTTAATGGCGCTGTCCAGAATGAGAAAAAACATAAGGGACTCGTGGCAAGTCTACCAATCAGTAATCCAGATAAACAAGTGGAACAGCAGGCAGCGAGTAATACGAACGTCATAATAGACAAGAGTAATTGGTATGATCAAGCATGCAGTACCAGTTGAGGAACAATAAGGGCTATTAAATATACTGTATATATTATATTCTTGGCGGAGTGTTTCAATTGTAATTATAAGGTTTAATTGGAGACCGCCCTCTCTACGGAAAATCGGTGACAATGTACTACAAAGTCGGCGATTCTAAGCTAATTTAGTTAGGTACTGTATTTTGTTGATTAGAAACCAGAAAGTAAGTTTATTAATATAACAGTTTATAATATGTTAACTATCATTGAGATGCAAGCCAGGATATTATGTAATTGAGATTGTCTGGTACAGTAGTACTAAATTTTACAGGCAGATCGTCATGCTGGACTCCACAAGTGTTTACTATTAACTAACTTTACTATTTGTCAGTAAAAATTGCTTTTAATGAAAATTTAATTGATCTGATTTGAATGCAGTTTTCGAACACCTACAACTGTACATGGGTTAGTTCTGAATAAATGTTGAGTCTGAATATACGAAACATTAGGCATGTTCAAACCAATAGTAGATTAAGCTCTTCATTACCTTTTATCACTTTAAATTATATTTCAAACTCAATATAGAAAATGTAATATTCATACACAAATTGTTGAACAGTTTCGTACACATTAAAGCTACATTTACACTAGACACAAAGACGACACAACATATTATAGCGTCATTTATATTTTTTAACAAGCGCATTTTTATTTTGTCGTTATTGTGTCTAGTGTGAATGTATTTTAATACTGTACTGTATCAGAATCCATTACATCTCGACACTTCCCTCCATGTTATTAGTATTCATCAAATCATGATTGTCCATGATCTTCAATTTGAAGTTCTTTGTGTTTTTTTTATTTAATTAAATCATGGTACTTCTATCTCACAATCTGAGACAGAAGAGATGGATTTTAAAAAATGTTTTTCGCGATTTCCTGACACCAATTTAAGGGTCTATGCAAAAGATTACAAGAAAAAGTCTGTCTGCAATGTTAAATTTAAATTTTAATTATGGGGTATAAATTATGCTTTCCCTATACGAAGTGAAATTTTAATTTGTTTAGCTCATGATAACTCTCAACAAAAATCCTTAACGACTTTATTCTGTAACTGTGCTTTATTTAGTGATGTACATAATACAGTTCATTCAGAATTTCTGGAATTGTTTCTTTGTAGAGCCAGGAGCTTTGTTGACCTTGAGAACATTGAACCGTACGGTCTTGCTCAATGGTCGACACTCACCAACAGTCACAACATCCCCAAGTTTTACATCTCTGCAAAAATAGATAAAGATAAAAAAAATCATTTAGGTTATTCTTAAAACAAACAAAAAATTAATGCTAAAAAAATCCTTGTTGTAGAAATGAAAATTTCAATTTTATTTCCACGAAATTGATAAAATGTTACTAGTTTTTATTTTGTTTTTGTTAAATTTAAATAATAAATTATGTTTTAAATATTGACGAGAATATGGTAAATATTTAATACTTTCAATTGTGATTGGCATCTTTTTTTTTATTTAGGCCCAAGCAGCTCAAATATTTACTTGATAATTTGACCAATGACCCCGAAAAAAGCTATGCTTAAAAAAATAATCATTTTCATTTTGCTTTTCTGTTTTTACTTGGGGCATGCATGGACAAAGCAAATACTTGTTAAGATGGACTACACTAGCCTAGGGAGTGAAGGTCCAAATGTATGAACAAATTAGAATATTGTACTTCCAATTTTGATGTACGATTCCCAATTATGAATGCCTCCTGTTTAGTACTGCATGCAATTAATGGAATGTCCGGGAATAATACGTGGATGAGCCCAACATCACTGGAATGATGTACAGTATTAGGGAGCCATCATACTGAGCAAATGAGCAGTACACAATGCCAAAAACAAAGGTAAAAGTATGAGAATAACCCATAAATTGCAGCGCCATTGTGCTGAATTGCTTATGGGAGTAGTCTGTGACTAGCAGCCGTAAAGGGCACTTATAGTAACTACATGTTTACATAATTCCATAAGGGTTGAAATGCCCATAACATCAGGGAAATCCCCATCTCTTCTGAAAGATGCAATGGGTTCTTTAAAGTGCACCCATGCCAGATGTGTACACTGAGCCGTTCCAAGGCAAGACAACGTAACTGCAACAAAAATAGCAGTTGCATTGTTTTCTCATGGGACAGACGCCCATTTTGAGTCCTTATCCGAGAAGACTTGGATTTACTAACCCACCCTGGTGGGAAGCGGCTGGACCCAGCGCCGATGTTAAGGCTATGGTTAGCAGCGCCCCTGCCTGCCATCTTGTGTACTGGGTTTTCTCTATTAGTGCTACAAACCTGAAACAAGGTGAGAGATGTACAGACAAGTTTTTATGTCTCTTCTCAAATCGATTGTACTTTTTGATGTAATGAAGATAATCACGCCGTATGACAATTGTGCGGTCCATCTTCATTTTTACAACCGAGCCACTAAGGATCCTTCCTCGAATGTGAACATTGCCAGTGAAAGGGCACTTCTTGTCTATGTATGTTCCCTCCTTTGCCTACATAATAACAAGCATTTTTGTCAATCACTATGCTTACTGTACTGTGTAACTTGTAATACAAAATTTGCTTAGCGAAAATACCCCACCACCTGTCCTAAAGGAGGAGATCTACTGCATTCTGTTACAGTTTGCATTCAACATATACCTTTATCCTTCAATTTTACACAAAATCTATAAAACATAAGGATAAAAATAGTGAAAAAAAAACATTCCTGTGCAAGCCCTATGTTTCACTTTCGTGTTGGTGCCATCTGTGTATCAGAAATTGATTTATGGTATCATCACTGTGACATATGAAGACCATCGTGAAAAACATCATTTACACAGAAACAGAGCATGGTTTCAAACCATATCAAGTATAATTGCTAGAACTACCAGATTAGGAATCTACTGTACTTATCGTCATATATCTTGGAATTCTCACCTCAGCCGGTGTCTTGAAACCTAGCCCTACATTTCTCACTAGACGTTGGACTTTGACCTTCGATCCTAAAACACGCTTTCGGTTCTGGAAAACCGTTGGTTGCTTTTGGAAAGCTCTCTCATTCTGAAATTAAAAGATTATGGGTCAGTGTTTATCAAGTCCTATTATCAACTAAAGTACTGTACTTGTGCAATCTGTGTATCAGAAAACTTTTTATGGTATCATCAACTGCAACATATGAAGACCATCGTGAGAAACATCATTTACACAGAAACAATTTAAACATTTATAACTAAAATTAAAGTAGAGGTATTTATTGATCAAAATAATCAAGAAACCACATTTCCGTTAAGGCCGTAATTACTACTAAACAATTTTGCAAGCGAATCTGCCATCTCCTCAGGGACATTATTCCTTCCCACCACATAGGGCAAATTCTGGCACCCCTCGTGCCTCCTAGCTCCCTACATAAATTTCCATTAATAATTCAACAGCCTAAGAGTGCTTTTCCCAGTCATTGGAACGATGCCTATGGGGGGAAATTCTATAGTTTGCTGCATGAAATATATCAGCGCATTTTGCACTCAAACTTCCTCAGGTACCCATTTATACTTATGGGTGGAGGGGAGCAACACAGATAAAGTGCCTTGCTCAAGGACACAACCAAAATGCTCAGTGAGGGATTGAAACCAAACAGTTCCTGCTGCGTCAAACAGCTTATTAAATATATGCCATTTTTATTACAAAATAAAATAAAACATTTAATCGAATTACAGTATGTATATCAGAAAAAACGATTAATATTTGCTACTTTTAAATTGCTGTATCCAGAGCCATCTTAGACACAATAAATAAACAGAACAATCCAAGGTAACTTATCGATTAAATTTCAATTAGATAGCATTGGCCTTGACCTAGATTTCTACTAAAAATTGATTGATTTGAAATGTTTTTAAGTACCCCCTGCCCTACAAGTACCAGCAAGCTGTTGTTAACCTACTCCCTGCCCCTACCAAAGCGTAATTTGGTAATAAAAATGTTGTGTAAGAAAAAAATGGACAACAATAGCTTTCATTTTGAGAAATATATCACTTAAATGAAAGATTGACGGCAATTAATCTTTTTTGTATTTGTCATTACCACATGCCAAAAAAAAAAGAAGAAATTTACATTGTCGGCAAATGGTACCCCGACCCCACTTGTAACGCTATTCAATTTGACATGTTCTGAAAGGGTACATGGATACTATAGGCAATTATTTAAAATTTGTATTTTTGTGAAATTTATCTTTTTTGCACTCTTCCAGAAACGGTAAAGGCTCTCATTGATTAGCTTAATTTGGTAGGCCGGGTTGAGGCTTAGTGTCTTCTATCGTATTGATGAAGATAAATTTTGCTGCGAAAGACGTGGAGACTTTTGTGTTGTTTTTATAACATTAATAAGATGTTGCCTATGTTAATGGTACATAAATCATGTGCTTAGTTAGGTAATTAGACCTGTCTATCTTTTATCATCGCAAATTTTCCGATCGATTAAAACATTGGAACTGCCATATATCTCCCAAAAATAAACATTATGTTGAATCATAATCTAAAAAGTTAATATCAATACCACTAAATAAATTTAAATGTCACATTTTACAATAATTGCTGAAAAAAACAACTTACAGTTGTGCACAGTTACTGCATGCACAGTTGGAAACAACATCATCAACTCAAAATGAGCAAAAGGAACAAACTGCGTACAATAAATCAGCACCAATGCACTTTAATACTCTACCCTAAACCCAAACCCTGATCTTAACTCCAGTCTCGCTCTCGCTATTCAACAAATCTAATACGGTTTTGCATCCGGTCGTAAAATTGATTACCAAATTATTTAACACTTACAATTGTTGTATTAACATACTCTGATGATTTGACTTTACATCCACTTATTACCTGATAATTCTAGTTTCTAATTAAGTTAATTAACCATTAAATTTGGACGGTTTAATATTTTCGCGGCGCACCACATTACACACCCAAAGTTGCCAACAGCTTTGCGGTGTTGCCAGAATCAGTGTTTCTACAAAGGTTGCTTAACGGCAGAATCCTGGCAGTAGGAGAACAGATAGGCAACTTGTCCGTCATATTGCAATTTTTTTTATCTTACTTCCGTATTTACTTTGCGCAGCGGCACCTATCATTTCAAAGCGTAACCTATGATGGATGATACTTAGTTCATACACTTGTCATCAAGCCAACAAGAAACACATTTCAGAAAGATTGGAGCCATTTTTATATAGGCATTAATATCCTCGCTGCATATTTACGGGTACGCGAATATGCTAGGCCCCACAATGTGCACGGCATAAGCCTCAGCTTCGCATACGAATCGTAATAGAAAGCAACAGAAATGTTATCGATAAATTACTAAGTTGGAAGACTAAATACGTAAAAATATTCATTTTAATGGTATATATTTATTTCACTCATATCAAAAATACGTAAAAATATTCATTTTAATGGTATATATTTATTTCACTCATATCAATTATTCATGTAACACGCGGTCTTTGAATTGCTTTGTATAAATACGATCTTCCAATTATGATCACCGATGTTTCCAAAATTGAGTACACGCTAGTGTTCGAGTCCAACGAAATGGAGGTACCCTTAGTTTCCAGATTCGGATTTGCATCCCAGCTACTCAATTTGTTATCTGAATATTTTAAACTATAGATTATAAGTTTTTATAGCAGGGGTTTTAAATTCATTTCTGATCAAATTTTTTTGTATTTTAAATTAACGATTTTCTAGGGCACAAAATCGTAAATATTGTGTACCACGAATTGTCCATTAAATTACACTTTATAGTGTCGGTCAAAATACACCAAAAGTATGACTGCGAGCCATGCTCTGCTCTGAGAAGTTAAGCCACAACCTGAGGCCTAGCTAGGCTACCTAGCACCGGGTACATACAATACACGTGTTTGTGTCCCGACAGCGTTTCACTGTTTTGTGGATCTGTTTTTTCGCCAACCACAATTTGTTTGGCCAAATGTTCTCACTTATCGAAATGAGCCAATTTTATGATTTAATTTATTGATTTCTACAAATAATGTATCTCTGTGTATTTAATTAACATTTTAGATAAATGGTTAAACTTGCTATTTAACAGAAAGTACAAAAAATCAAATGAATTTCAGACAGTAATCATACCTGGTCAGCCATCTTGGAAGGTTGTAGCCGAAAAGAACAGTCAAGAGCGGATCTCGCAAAAATTGTATAGCGCCACCTTTAAAAGTATTTATTGGGAAATTACATCTATGTAATAGGTGGCACACAAAAAGGTGGTACATAAACATTGCACAACTTATAAAAGAACAAACAAAATTATAAACAAAGAATTAAACTATTAACTTAATCAACAAAAAATACATAAAGGCCTACACTTAGAAATTGAAATTGGCAATTAAAAGTACAACTCCAAAGAGAGAGGGGTCACCAAAAGCAGGTGACTATATAGAGCAGAATTTATTTATATTTATTTATTAATTTATTTATTTTGTTTCTTTTTTACAACAATGTTAGGCCTATAATATACTGTATTCAGCAGGGTTTTTTTTTTGTTTTTTTTGTTTTTTTTTGTTTTTGTTTTTTTTTTTGGTTTTGGTTTTTTTGTGGAGATTTGTAATAGATACCATGAGAAAATGAATAATTTCTGTGGAAGTCACAATTTAGGAATATGGCAAACCAGTTCTTTCTTAAAAACAAGTAAATTATAAAAAAAGAATTAAGCTGTTAACTTAATTAACAAAAAACATATATTGCAATTTAAAAAAAATACAGAAACAAAGAAAGAGGGCCACCAATCAGGTGTCTACTATAAAAGCGCAATTGAGTTTTTGCCACAATACTTGGCAATACTAAAAGCATTTTCATTGTTACTTCATGTATGTTCATAAACTACCTAGAAGAAGTAGCAATGAATATGGCAAACCAGCTCTGTGTGTATGAAGCAATATTTCCTACCTATTTGGTCAGTATATTCTTTATTTTGATCAATATAGTACGACTTGTTTAGAAGCCATCCCAAATGCAGTCGGCATAGCCATACCGTGGGAACGTGCATTATATTTCTCGTTACAAACTGTTTATTTGTACATTAAGACATTGTCTCTGATAATGATCATTCATTGCTGCTTAAGATAATAATTTACTAAGATCACTAGATTTACTAATACGTAATACATCATATTTATTTGGAAAAACGCTTTTTAACAGCGGCACACATCACATCAATGGTGCATCCATAAAAAAAACCATAACAATCAAAATCATTAAAACCAACAAAATCAAAACAACACAAAAAATGGAATGATTAGGGAGAATGGAACAATCTCCCCGCTGTTCTTACAAGGCAGAACACAATTTGAAAATACAGGGTAGCCATTCTCAGGACAAGAAACAACTTAACCAAGGAGGTATATGTGTAGGCCTATGGTGCATGCACTTACACACACACACACACACATGTATACATACACATACACACACACACACATGCACACACATATATATTATACGGTATTATATATTAGGGAGCCAAATGGCCGAGCGGTTAAAGCAGGGGCACCGTGATCATAATAGCCAACAATATCGGCACGGGTTCGCGGCCGGCTCGCTCCTTTCTCTGGTGGTGGAACAACAAGTCTTCTCGGATACGGACTATAAACCGTAGGCCCAGTGTACACAAATGCTCATGTGCACTTTAAAGAACCCAGTATCTTTCGAGATAAGTAGGGGGTTACCCTGGTGTACTGGTTCATTCGGCCCCTGTCGTGGACAGATGAAAGTGCGCCGGTTTACTGGCTGCTGAAGACATGAAGTGACCCTTAGGGGAGGAGAAAGTTATTGTAAAGTGCAACATCTAGTCTAGTATTATGCGCGCTATATAAC